GGGGGGGGGGGGGGGGGGGGGGGGCACTGGGGATGCCAAGGCCTACCATTCACTAGAGGCCCCCTCCTGCCACTTACCCTCCAGGGCCACCTCAGCCTCTGGGTCCACCTGCAGTGCCAAGTCACATCATCTGGTTTCTTGCCAAGGGTGTCTGTCCCCTGCTTCGGGCCCCCTCACTGCATTTCTATAGCTAGAGGCCTGTGGGATACCCGCCAAGATGGTCTCTTCTGCCCCTGGCACCAGGCCCCAAACCTGCCTCTGTTTTTCTCTCTTCTCACGTCTTGCCACGTGCCCCGACTCCCTTTCTGTCCAGACAGAAAGCCTTGCACGGGCTCCTGCTTTCACGTCTCCTCTGCTTGGAACAACCCTCCTCGCCCTTCTCCTGAAGCCAGGGTTTGACCTCAATCTCCCCGATCCCGAGTCTTCACTCTTGTCCCTCTGCAGCCCCACCTCCCAGGTAGAAGGGATCGAGCTCCCCTGGGCATGCTCAGTGAGTTTTCCGCCCACTGAAGACAGACTGGGGAGGCAAAGGGTTGTGGGGAAGCCATCAGCCCTGGAGTCCACAGGCTTCAGATGGAACCCAGGCCTGTCACCTGGTCTCTGGGTGCCATGGGCAAAGGACCTCAATATTCTTTCCTGGAAAGTGGGGATAATAGCCATTCCCTCCCTCGTGGCTGCTTAGGGGTGAAAAGGGGGTGGTGGGGGTCATTGCAGTAGGTGCTCGGCACAGGCTGACTGAGGCACCGATCATTAGCAGGTGCCTCCTGCGGCCTGCTGGAAGGAGTAGGCTCTGCTGAGGGGAAGATGGGAAGTCCTCCGTCCCGTATTCTGGGCCCCAGGCCCAGTGCACGCACTGGGAATTCAGGGTCTAGCCCACTTGGTGCCCACCCTCCACAGGAGAGGCAGACCGTAACTCTGGTTCTGCACGAATGAAGGTGAATGCCCACGAGGCATGGTTCTCTTAACAGCATTTATTGCCACCCCCCCACCCTGCCTGACCTGGTGCTGGGCCTGAGGAAAACAGGAGAAGGGTGTGTCTACCCAGCAGGGAGCACCTCCTGCCTCCTGGGGGAGCCAGGAAGGGCACGGACGCCTCCCGCTGAGGGGCAGCGCTACAGGCTGACACAAGGTTGAAGTCAGATCTGGGAAGGCTTCCTGGAGGCGCAGCCTCGGGTCTGACCAGACCCCATGGGAGCTCAGAAAGGCCACGTGTGCCCCGGTCTGCCCGCAGGACGGAGGCTGACGGGAAGTCCTACGTGAAGTACCAGGTCATCGGCAAGAACCACGTGGCGGTGCCCACCCACTTCTTCAAGGTGCTGATCCTGGAGGCAGCAGGTGGGCAAATCGAACTGCGATCCTACGTGATGCCCAACGCCCCCGTGGACGAGGCGGTCCCGCTGGAACGCTTCCTGGTGCCCATCGAGAGCATCGAGCGGGCCTCGGGGCTGCTCTTTGTGCCAAATATTCTGGCGCGGGCAGGCAGCCTCAAGGCCATCACTGCAGGCTGCAAGTGAAGGCCGCACCCCGCCAGACTGGGGCCGCTGGGCCACATTAAAGGTGGTGATTTTTGAAGACAGAAGTCCTGGTTGTGTCTGTCCCAGGGGACCCTCAGGAGCTACGGCTTCCCTCCTGCTTGCTTTGCCTGTCTTCTGCCTGAGAGCACCTTCAGCTGGGCCGGGCACCCGCCTGGGTGAGGCCAGGCTGCAGGGCGGCCAGGGAGATGAGGATGGCCTCCTGGAGGGGAAGTGCGGCCATGGGCTGGGGCCTGGGAGGCTGGCGGGTACCTGGCTGCCAGCCTCACCCACCCTGCCAGCTTCGCAGGCCTCGACTGCCCGGGACCCACTGCCAGGGGCTTGCTACCCTCTGCATGGCCCGGAGAAGTTAAGAACAAGCTCCACCCCATCCTGCCGGTCTGCCGTGGGCTGGCTGCATGCCTTCCCCGGGAAGGGCCTTGCCTCTCTGCTTCTCACTCTTCCCCTCTGTAAAATGTGCTCCTGATGTGCTAACACCTACCTTTCACAGTCAAGGTCAAGGTCAGGATTAGGGAAGTTCTCAGCCCACAGGACAGGGTGGGTTTAGGGGTTCCTGCTGGTAGGGGGTGCCCTCAAGGACAGACTGGAGCAGCCCACCTGTGTAGTCAGCCCCCTTGGAGACTACTGGAAGCCAAGGGCCTCTAGCATGCAGACCTCCCAGGACTGAGTCTCCCAGAGCTGGCTACATACTGCCCCCAACAGCACTGAGGGGCCAGTGAGGCCCAGTGCGGAGGGCTGCCCTGCCCACCATGGTCACGTGTGAGGAAGTGGAACACTGAGCAAACGGCTAGGGAAACAGGCCCAGAGCCAGGACGGCCAGGGTCTTCTGGGTCACCCAGCCTGGGAACAGATGGGTGGGCAACCACACCCAGGATTCTGGACGCCCAGCTCACCCCTACACTGTCCCTGCTGGAATTCACAATGGTGAGAGGCTGAGGCTGTCAGGAAACCATCTCCAGGGAAGGCTGGCTCAAGACCACCCCTGCTGGGACAGACCCTGGCTGGAAGCAGAACCCTGAGAGCAGCCTGGGGCGGGAGCAGGAGGCAGGCAGGCTCACCTCAGTGCGGATGGTGCGGCTGCCCTGGCTAGGACAGGTGTTGACATACAGATCGAAGAGGACACTGGGTTCAGCCACCTCTAGGTTGGGGTCAGCCTCCACTCCAGCTTCCAGCCCCTGGAGGCCCCCGAACACCACGAGAGCATGCCTGGCACCACAGGAGGAATCGGTCACTGCTCACCAGGCCACTCCTGGGACACAGGTGCCCAGTCTGTACAGCTCTGCCCCCCACCAGACATGTTTCCGGCTCCACTCCCGCTACCCTGGTCCTTGCCCCAGGCTGTACCCACCTGAAGCTGGGAAGCTGGGCGGAGGTCACATCCGAGCCTCTCTCCGATGTCCCAATGGTCAGGTCATACCCGTCTTGGAAGGGGGCCTCAGCAAACACAGCACCTAGGGGAGAGACCAGGTCACTGGGGGTCCTGCTCCAATGCCACAGCCACTGGGCTACATGTGTCTACGTACTTGGGGAGTGTGGGGGGGGGTTGGGCTGGAGAAGGGGACTCAGGTAAGGGAGCCACACCCAGCCACACAACACACATCCACTGTTGCGACTCAGCGGGGAGAAACCACACCTGTGCTAGACCAGTGACACAAAATGGAAGATGGGTGGGCAGGAGATCTGAGACCTCATATTATATCCTATACCCATCTGGTCCTTTTGTTCCATTCCCAACCCCACGGCAGATGTTTCTAGTGGATCACCACCCTTTTTCTCAGGAGTCCTTTATGGTATTCTAAGCAGCACAGTCAGGAAGATCAAGGCCCAGAGAAAGAAAGGCATTTGCCTAAGGACACAGAGTAATGTAGAAGGACAAGGACCCTGGTCTGCCTTTTGTGTCAGGCAAGGTTCTCTGTGGCCTCCCAGAGAGAGTCAGCTCTTCAAAGGAGGAAGCACTGCACTTACTGAGGCAGGAGGCCAGTCGGACTGTGTAGCCCCAGTAGAGACCGGCTTTGGTGCGAGGGTCCTGCGACGACACAACTTTTCCCCGGTAGGTCTTGCTTTCTGAAGAGGAAGTGGGGAGACTGTGAAGATGGGGCAAGGGACAAGGAGGTAGCAGGAGGCGGCTCTGAGCCCTCCGGCTGGCTAGGCTGGGAAGTTTCCAGATACCTGGGAGCTGTTTCTGGTTCAGCTGGACCGTCACTCGAAGTCCAGGCTCCAAGTTCTTGTCAATCTTCACCTCCTGGGGAGAAGCCAGGAGAAATGGGTGCTATTCCCCACAGGGCCAGCAGGTGTTCCTGTTCTCCCAGATGCTGGGGGCAGGGGGATCTGGGCAGCTGGCAAGGTACCCAAGGGGTCCAGGTCAAAAGGGTCCTTTGTCCCCTTTCTCTGGCACCTGGGCCAGACCTGCTCTCAAGAGACCATTTGTAGTGTGCCTGGGTGGCTCAGTCGGTTAAGAGGCCGACTCTGGATTTCCGCTCAAGCGCAAGATCTCAGAGTCCTGGGATCGAGTCCCAAGTGGGACTCAGCACTTAGTGCGGATTGAGACTGCTTCAAGACTCTCTCCCTCTCCCTCTGCCCTGCCCCAACCCCACCACATGAGCAGGAGCAGGCTCTCTCTCTCTCTCTCTCTTTCAAATAAATAAATCTTTAGAAAAAGAGAGACCATTCTTGCAAAACAACTACCACAAGACACTGGGCAAAGATAAATGCTCTGGGCCTGGCATGGAGCAGGAAGTATTTCGCGAGATGAAATGCCAGTCTTCTGTTTTGAACACACGTGGCTTTGTAGCCACTTCCTAGCTACAGCGGTTTGCGCAGCCACTTAATCTCTGCGAGCCTCGGTTCCCTCCTCCGTCAAAGAGCAAACCCTCCATAAACAGCCCCTGTGACACAGCCCCGGACCCTCAGCGGCAGCTGTGACGAATGACAACCAACGTCTGTATTTCGTGCCAACTCTGAATTCAGGATAGGGCACTTTCTTTCCCTTCTGAGGTTTCTCTCTCCTGTTTTCTCCTTTCGTCTGGGTCTGGGTCTAGGTCATCCTGGCCTGCATTTAGCCTGTCATTGCTGGTCTGCTTTTTGAGGGGAGGGGACCATCCACCAAGAAGGGTTTCTGTCTCTGACTCCAGAAGATCTGAGAGTAAGCAGGTGGCAGACGAAGGCGCCAATCCCAGTGTGGCTCTGCGTCCTGCCGGAGCTGCCCCAGAGGGATTCTGAACTTATTTCTGTAGGGTTTTGGTTGGGTTGTTTTGGGTCTAAGCGTGAGGACTATCTTCTGTTCATTTACTTTTTAAGAAACAGTAAATTAGCTCCGGGCTTTAGCTACCAACCCGTTTGGGGGCACTTCTTTGGCCCAAATCTACATCATGGGGGAACTGCAGGCACAGATGCCTGGGTCCAGGGCTCCCTAGACCCCGCCTGCCCTCCGTGGCCGCCGTGTGTCCAGAACGTATGTCCCAGCCTGCTCTCCCCATCCCTACCTTCTTCATGCCACAGTTGACAAAGGACCCATGGCCTGGCCGGGTGGGCCGGTCCACCACGATGCCTTCTCTGAACTCGGACTCCTCATCCTGACGCATGTGGTGAGGGCTGTCCAAGGGGTTCAGAAGCCCTGTGTGTTGGGAGATGCAAAGGCTCCTAGTGGTATGGCAGGAACACTGGAGGTCCGGTCCAAGTTTCAGGCCGGCCACAGACCTACCACTCGCCACCAGGCACAGGCGTTGCCCTGCCTGGGCCAGTTTTCTCAACTGCACAGCCATTTCTCAGGGTCTGGGAGATGAACCCTGAGAAATGGGGGTTAGTACCCCCTTGCAGCCTTACCTGCAAACTGGAGATCCTGGTGCTTGGGGAAGAACGCCTTTCTTAGGTACCTAGTCAAGAACATGGATCTCAGGAAGTTTGTGGGGGAGGCTGCCCCTGACTGACCTGCCCCTCGACCACCCTGCTCCTCCCCGTCAAGTTCAGGGAAGTCCGCCCCGCACGCCCTCACTGTGGACACTCCAGGTACTGCAGGATCCGAGCAAGCTGCACGCATGCCTGCCCTTTCTTGCCAACTCCCCTGAATTCTCCCTCCACGGTCCTGGAAAGAGAAAGACAAGAGTTTCCAGAGCCTACTGTGCTCCCTTCGAGAGTTCCTCTACCCAATCTGACCCCTGCAGTGCCCCTGCTTTGTGACTCTTCCCACCAGATTCACCAGGGGCAGTGTTCTCAGCCCAGGCAAGTAGGCAGCGACAAGGACGAAGCAAAGTCAATCCTAGCAGTCCCTCCCTCCTTGCTGAGGCCCCGTGCACTGCTGGATGGCCCCTCACTTGGCATCCTGGCCTTCTTCATCGAACACTACAATCTCATCCACACAGAAGATGGTGCAGGCTCTGGCGATCTGGCCAGCCAGGTAGGTGCGAAGCTCTGGTGACTGGGCATTGTCCAGGATAGAGCCTGGCAGGGCCACGCTCAGGGTGTAGGGCCGACCTGGGAAGTGGAAGGGCATTCATGGTCAGTCTGAGAGGCTAGAGCTGAGCTTTCCCTCCCTCCCTCTAATCCCAGAGCCCAGAGTTAGAGAACTTTCCCCTGGGAGGAATTTTGAGGCCAGCAAAATAGATCCAACTCCCCTTTCCAGGCCTCAATCTACCCAGGAGGAAAATGGACCTCCTGGTCCCCAAGGCTCCCGTGAGCAGGGCACACCACTGGGCAAGGCTGGAGAGTGGTTAGAGGCACTGGCCAAGTTCATATGCTGGCTCTGCCCGTTACTCCCTCAGTTCTCCAGCTGGCAAATGGGGATAATAAAAAGAACTAATGTTATTAGACCTTTTCTGTATGCATTTACCCCATAACCCTAAGAACTATTACTATGATCCCCATCGAGAGGTGGGACCCAGAGAGATCAAACATGTGGCCCAAGGTCACACAAAAGGCAAGACAGCTGAGATATGGGTTTAGGCTAACTCCAGGGAGATCACCATATTCTCCCTCCCAGAGTCGCCCAAAGGGAGCCATATAAGGGAACACTCAGGAAGCATTTCCTTGGTGTCTGAAACAGCTCACATGCTGTTTCTGTCCCCACTGTCACCGTCCTCACTGGTAACCAATGGGCTTAGAAGGCACATTATGACACACCCTAACCCTCCTGAGGTTTGAATCTAGACAAGGAGAAAAGATACAATTTGTTAGGGTAGATCCAGATATACTGATGTGGAAGGACACACAGGGCACAATGTGGAATGAGAAAAACCAGGTCCAGAAGCTAATGGATAAAGTGGTCTCACTTTTGTAAAACTGTATCTATATATTCGCTACATATGTATCTATGAGTGGATATAACATAACATCTGGAGAAACTTACACTGTCAGGTTTGCTGGGATTTTTCTTTTCTACAGTATTCTGCATTTTCGGGAGGGGGGCTGTTTTGAACAGGTATTATTTAACAAGAGAAAAAAAAGGCAAACTCTTATTATAATCAAAATAAGGGGTGCCTGGCTGGCTTAGTTCGTAGAGCATGCAACTCTTGATCTCAGGGTTGAGCATGCAACTCTTGATCTCAGGGTTGTGAGTTCAAGCCCCATGTTGGGTGTAGAGCTTCCTTAAAAAACAAAATCAAAATAAGGAAATGAAAAACTCGATTAAAGCACACAGAAAGTGCTCAATAAAAAGTAAAAAAAATAGGGGTGCCTGGGTGGCTCAGTGGGTTAAATCCTCTGCCTTCAGCTCAGGTCATGATCCCGGAGTCCCAGGATCAACCACCGAATCAGGCTCTCTGCTCAGCAGGGGGCTTGCTTCCACCTCTCTCTCTCTGCCTATCTCTCTGCCTACTTGTGATCTCTGCCTGTCAGATAAATAATCTTTAAAAAAAAAAAAAAAAGTAAAAATATAACTGTCATTATGATGATGATGATGAGTTCTGGAGGTGTAAAGTTATGATATGTGATGTTTAGGCTCTGAAAGACCGAAATCTACCTAAGTATGAGGTTAGGACCCAGGTTTTCCCATTCTCTGGGCCTCAGTTTCTCCCTCGGGACCAGATGTCTGGACCCACTGGTCTCTAACATCTCTTCCAGATAGGACATTCTCTTCCCTGCCCACGACCCAGCCTGCTCACCCTGGTCCTCCCTCTGTGCAGCTGCCTCTTCTTCCCGCTGGAGCTTTGCCTGCTCCTCCTGTGCCCGCTGCCGCTCCAGTTTTTTCATCAGCTTGAGATCCTTCCACTTCTTTTTCTCCTCTTTCTCTGGAGAAGAGGACACGTGGATTGGTGGAGGGGAGAGGGACTTGGAGGGAGAAGGACATGGAGCAGTCCTGGAGATGGTGCCCTCCTGGTAAGGTCTGCCTGGGCTCTCCAGTGTTGCTTAGTGAGCCCTTCCTTTCCCGCTTTGGGTGCTGGGCGACCCAGAGGGACAAACCCGAAGGCTCTGCTCAGGTTCCCCAGCGCCCTGCTGGAGCAGCCTCCGGCAAGGCTAAACAGATCCCCTCCCCTCCAGCCCCTTACTTACTCTGCTGCTTCCATTTTCGCCACTCGACTCTTTGGCCATGTTCACCCTAGAGCAGGACTCGGAAGAGGTATAGGATTGAGGCTGAATGATCACGACTGGGAGGGGGTCCTGCCTATCAACGGAGGTAGTGAGGAAACCACGGAACGCCCCCACAGTGCCGCGGCTGGCAGAGTAGGACTGAGTCTGACACTTTGCAAGTACTCAAGTTGTTGAATCGCGTCTGACAGGAGAGAAGAGGAAACTGAAGCTCAGGGGGAGACCTGCCTACTGCCGCCCTGGGAGTCAGAAGAAATGCGCCACGAAAGGGCTCGAGAAGGCGGGCAGGGTCCCACCCCCTGAATCCAAGCCTCGGTCGGAGTAGCCGCAAGGCGCTCCAGCAATGGGTTACCTGACGCTGTCCCGGCCCTGGCTCGGACCCTGGCACCTACCCCCGGTTCCTACCCGGGCAGGAGCGCACGCGGCCGCCAGTATGAGGCACCTCGGGGCTCCCGGCCTCGGATCAGCGACGAGCAGGGAGCGGGAGGCTCGGCCTGGCCTCGCCACGGGCCCCCACACGTTCCGTTCTCGCGCCTCCACCCACTGTCCTGCCCCGAGACCCCAGCTCCCGCCACTTACCGGGCCGCAGGGCCGCTTCTTCACGCGCTCCGCCATGTTCGTCGCACACCGTCGGCCACGCCCTGCCAATCAGACTCACCCCTTCCGGCCACACCTCCTCCGAGCCGTCCAATCGGAAAGCCAATGGCATGCGGGGGCGTGGCTAGGCGTCCTGAGGCTTTGCGAGCGCGTGGCCTGGGACTCGCAGGCTGGTTGAGCAGAGTGCGCGCAGACAGCGGGGGCCGAGCCGGGGCGGGTCTTGTCGCAAGCTTCGGGGGTCCAAAGGGCAACTTGTGCAATGCTGTCCCGGATCCTTGGACGGCCGGAGAGCCGCCCTCCGTTTCCACACGAGCGCGACACTTAAAACTCAGCTCGATTTTATTTTACTTGGGGACCCTGAAGCCCAGAGCTGAAGTGTGATTCAGAGCTGGAAATGATCTTAGAATTTAATAGAGTTTTTAAATTTAAATTTAAAATTTTTAAAAGATTTTATTTATTTGACAGAGATCGCAAGCAGGCAGAGAGGCAGGCAGAGAGAGGAGAAAGCAGGCTCCCCGCCGAGCAGAGAGCCTGATGGGGGCTTGATCCCAGGACCCTGAGATCATGACCGGAGCCGAAAGCAGAGGCTTAACCCACTGAGCCACCCAGGCGCCCCGAATCCAGTTTTTTTTAATAGATGCATTCATTTACTCTCTTTTAATTAATAGACTTTATTTTTTATTTTTTTAAAGATTTTATTTATTTATTTGATAGAGATCACAAGTAGGCAGAGAGGCAGGCAGAGAGAGAGGGGGGAAGCAGGCTCCCCGCTGAGCAGAGAGCCAGATGCAGCGCTCCATCCCAGGACCCTGAGATCATGACCCGAGCTGAAGGCAGAGGCTTTAACCCACTGAGCCACCCAGGCGCCCCAATAGACTTTATTTTTTAGAGCAGATTTAGGTTTATCAAAAATTGAACACATATGGGGCGCCTGGGTGGCTCAGTGGGTTAAGCCGCTGCCTTCGGCTCAGGTCATGATCTCAGAGTCCTGGGATCGAGCCCCGCATCGGGCTCTCTGCTCTCTAGGGGAGCCTGCTTCCTCCTCTCTCTCTGCCTGCCTCTCTGCCTGCTTGTGATCTCTCTGTCAAATAAATAAATAAAATCTTTAAAAAAAAAAAAAAAAAAATTGAACACATAGTACAGAGTTCCCATATACCCCTTCTCCACTACTCGTTTCCCCCATCCTCAACATCTTGCCTTACTTCGTAGGTTTACTGTAGTTGATGAACCAATGTTGATACAGTGTTATTAACTAAAGTCCATAGTTTACATTAGGGTTCTTTCTTTGTGTTGTACATTCTGCAGGTTTTGGCAAAGACATAATGTCAGGTGTCTACTGTCACAGTACGGTACAAAATAAGTCCACTACCCTAAAAATCCTGTTCCTCCTACCCTCTTCCAAGTCCCTGGCAATCACTAATCTTTTTTTACTATCTCTTTAGTTTTGTCTTTCCCAGAATGTCATATAATTGGGATCTAAGTATGTAGCCTTTTTATTTATTCATTTTTATTTTTATTTATTTTTTCAAGATTTTATTTATTTATTTACAGAGAGAGAGATCACAAGTAGGCAGAAAGGCAGGCAGAGAGGGGGAAGCAGGCTCCCTGCTGAGCAGAGAGCCCAATGGGGGGCTCGATCCCATGACCCTGGGATCATGACCTAAGCCAAAGGCAGAGGCCTAACCCACTGAGCCACACGGGTGCCCCCATTTATTCATTTTTAATTACTTATTTTAAATAAGCTCTACACCCATGGTGGGGCTGAACCCACAATCCTGAAATCAAGAGTTACTGGCTCTATCAATGGAGCCCTAGAAAGGCACCCCTAGAAAGCATGTAGCCTTTTCACACACCCTTTCATTAAGCAATTTGCATTTCAGTTTCTTCCATGATTTCTCATGGATTGATAGTTCATTTCTTTCCATTGCTCAATACTATTCCATTGCAGGGATATGCCAAAGTTCGTTTATCCAGTCACCATTTGAAGGATATCTGATTGCTCCCAGTCCATGCAGGGTTTTGCGTGGACAGGAATTTTCAGCTCACTTGCGTCAATAGCTGGGAGCCTGACTGCTGGATTGGGGTGTTGAGACGGATGAGCTTTGTGAAACACTGCCAAACTAGCTTTGGAAGTGACTAGACCATTTGCACTACTGCCTGCCATGAATGAGCTAAGCTTTTTCTTATGTTAGTAAATCTGAGGGGTACCTGGGTGGCTCAGTCGGTTAAGCATCCTCCTTCGGCTCAGGACATGATCTCAAGGTCTTGGAGTTGAGCCCTGGTCCCCCAGGTCAGGCTCTCTGCTCAGAGGGGAGTCTGCTTCTCTCTCCCCCTCTGCCCCTCCCCCTGGCTCAGGCACACCCACACTCACACTTGCACGCTCTCTCTCTCTCAAATAAAGGAAATCTTAAAATATATACATATATAATAAAAAGAATAAATAAATTTGAGTTAATATTTATTCAATCAATTTGTTTTTTAAAAATTTTATTTATTTATTTGACAGAGAGAGAGATCACAAGTAGGTAAAGAGGCAGGCAGGGCGGAGGGGGGGAGCAGACTCCCTGCTGAACAGAGAGCCTGATGCGGGCCCAGGACCTTGGGATCACGACCTGAGCCGAAGGCAGAGGCTTTAATCCACTGAGCCACCCAGGTGCCCCAGAGCAGGGCCTATTTTGAGGCTGGAACAGGGACACAGTGGTAAGCAAAAGCAGATCCTGATCTGGAGCTTACAACCAAAGAGAGACTGATTTCTTTCTTTCTTTCTTTTTAGATTTTTTTTTTTTTTTTTTTTTAGATTTTATTTATTTACTTGACAGAGATCACAAGTAGGCAGAGAGGCAGGCAGAAGCAGGCTCCCTGCTGAGCAGAGAGCCCGATGCGGGGCTCAATCCCAGGACCCTGGGATCATGACCTGGGCTGGAGGCAGAGGCTTTAACCCACTGAGCCACCCAGGCTCCCCTCTTTTTAAATTTTTTAATTTAAAAATTATTTTCATTTTTCTATGTTTTTAAGTAAGCTCTAGGTCCAACATGGTGCTTGAACTCCACCCCAAGGTCAAGAGCTACGTGCTTTACTGACTGAGCCAGCCAGGTGCCCCGAGGAGAGATTAATTTCCAGTTCAGTGTATGTGTTAACATTCTGGGGTGGTGTTGCTTTCCCTAGCCTCTCCCTCCCCTCTCTGAATATGAAGGCAGATCATTTCTGCACCTCAGACAGATCTGCCCTCTCCTGCTAACTGAGGTTACCCAGTCTGAGATCTGGAACTTCTGATGAGTCATGGATTTGAGTTATTGGCAGATTATAGATTGGTTCATGAGACACAGAACCTCTGGTGGGGGTGGTTCTATGAATGAAATCTATGGGTTTACCCCGGCAGGGAATTTCTTGCCATTGGGCTATGAGTAGTATGGCCAAGGGCCTCCAAGCTTGGGCCTCTGAGCTGGTATTTTGCTTCACAGTCTTGACTTTGGAACTGTGGGAGCAAGTACCAAGTCCTGGCTTAGAAGGGAAGGGAGGGTTCACAGCGCAGAGAGCCCTCCAACGGCAAATCTCTGACCCCAGGTGGATGTCCCACACTTCAGTTTAATTCTGACCATTGGCGAGATCCTAGAGGTTAAGGGCTCAGTCCCACCAGACCACCTCCCCCCACCCCCGCCATTTCAAATGCCAGGATAGATTGGGACATTTCCAGATTGGGGCATTTCCAGCGTTCCCCTGGAGTTCAGTAATTCCATGAAATGATTCACAGCACTCAGGAAGGTACTGTACTCACATTTTCATTATAAAGGATACAACGCAGGGACAGCCCAACGGGAGAGATGCACAGAATAAGGTTTTGGGGGAGGAAGGTCCACGAACTTCCGTGCCCTCTCCCGATGCATCACCCTCCCCTCACATTGCTGTGTTCGACAACCCAGAAGCTCCCCGAGCCTCACTGATTCAGGGTTTTTTAGGTGGGGTTTTATTCCATATGTACGATTGCTTAAATCATTGGCCAAGGGAAGGGACAACTCAAGGTTCAATCCCTTTCCCCTCCATCGGGGCCTGCGGTTGGGACTGAAAGCTCTGACCCTCTACTGACATAGTCCAAGGGGCTTATTATGAGTACAAAAAACAGTCCTAGGGGCGCCTGGGTGGCTCAGTCAGTTAAGTGTTTGCCGGGGGCTCAGCTCATGATCGCAGGGTACTGGGATCGAGCCCCGATTGGCTCCCTGCTCCACGGGAAGCCTGTTTCTCCCTCTCCCCACCCCCTGTTCATCTCTCTCTCTCTCTCAAGTAAATAAATAAAATCTTTAAAAAGGAAAAAAAGAGACAAAAACAAAAGACAGTCCTATCTCTCAGCGAATTCCGAGGGTTTTAGGAGCTCTGTGCCAGCAACCAGGAACAAACACTAAATACACCCTATTATGTTGCATGTTGCCATCAGCTCCCCCAATTAAAAGGCTCACAGGAGCAAACACATGGGCCTGCAATGTAAGGGCGACTTCAAGCCCCGAGCACCACCTTCCAAATGAATTTAGGGTTACTGTTGCTTTCCAGAGAGATGCCCACCCCCAGGAACAAGGCTGCTTCTACCTTGGCAAGCCGGATGGCTTTGGGCAAGTCACATCACCTCCAAAGTGGCTTCCCCGCCTGTAAAATGCAGACAGTAACTCCCATCTCAAAAGTTTGTTTAACAAGGTGGTGGGCATCTTGGCCCTGGACACAGGGAGGTACACAATTACATGAGCTACTTCTTCCCCCTTCTGCTTAAACTTCCTGACCCTCCTGGCCTACGCTCTGACCCCCTGTGAGACAGGAGACTGTTCGTGTCTTCCCTTTCAGACGCTCACCAGAGGCCCCCACCTCCTGCACACGCGCACAATGTGCCACAGTCACAACCCTCCATCTGAGCCCTGGGTTCTAGGCCCGGTTTTACCACTAACCGTGACTTCGGACAAGACCCCAGTCCCTGCCCTGCTTCGGGCCTCGGTTTTACTCCACAAAACACATTTGTACAAACAGGGGCTGGGATCTAAGGGGCTGGGATCTGAGGTGCCTTCTGCTCTGCCCCTGTTCCCATCAGCCATCAGCACCACCGTGTGAAGCAGAGAAGCCACTAATAAGAGTGTAAATAACTTATAACTTTATTATGGATGAAAAGTACTCGCTTGAGAACTCGAGCCTAAAGACCACTTCCCGAGGTTACCTAAGCAGATAAGGAAAGGAAGGGATGCCGGAGCCTGGGCTGGGGCCAGGGCAGGGCTGGGACTCAAGGCCAGGACACTGTTGGACTCTGTTCCCTTGAGTCCCAGACAAGGAGGGGACCCAAGACTCTGTGACCCAATCTAGGGAGAAGCAGGGAGAGGCCCGGGTCAGGTCCACCTTCCCACCATGACAGGAATACAGGTCCTGTGGGAAGCGCGTGCTCCAGAACCCACCAAGACCAAGAAGGAGGGCTCTTCCCTGGGGACATCCTGTGTGGAGGAGTAGGCAGCCCCAAGTTCTATCTACGCCCAGCCTGGGAGGGGCTGACAACCGGGCACAGAGCAAGCGGGAACCAGGCGGGGCCACGTCAGGGCCTGAGCTCATCCTTCCACTTCTGCAGCTTCTCGTCCATGGCCTGGAGCGTGGACTCGTCCTGCACCAACACAGGTCAGTCCTACCCCTCCCTCCCCACAGCACCAGTGGGCCACGGGGAGCTTGCGGAGGTCCTCTCTCCCCTCCAAACCCCCGTCCTTTACCTTCACAAAACAGAAGCGGACATAGTGGTCAAATTGCTTCCGATGTGGGGTGCTGTAGAAGACGGAGACCGGGATGGCCGCCAAGCCCTAGGGAGGAGGAAGCCCACGTCTGAGAGCCTCCCCACAGCACGGCAGGCCCTGGCTCTGGGGGACAGAGAGCTTCCTGTCATGGGCTGGGGCAGGGACAGTTAGCTTGGATGCAGCACCTCCCAGGGGTGGGTCAAGGTCAGAGGAAAAGAATGGCGGAGCATGGTTCCCAGTCCCTCCCTGTGTAGGGGGGGTGAAGGCTGGGGGCGGGGAAACAGGGGGGGCGTGCCATGTGTTAGATCAGGGCAGACACAGAGAAGAAATCAACCTCAGCGTCAGAGCCCAGAGCCCACCCAGCTGGGCATTAATGCGCCAACCCCACACCCTACAGCAGACAAGCCGGCCAAAGCCCGGAGAGCCCAGGGATGCCCGCCAGCCCGCACGGCATCTTTCTGCAAATTCCAGACAGAGATGCACCCTGGTCCTAGAGCTGATAGCAGACGCTGGGCTGGACTGGGGGCCTGGCCTCTAATAGCGCCCACGGGGGCCCTGGCCGAGCCCAGCCCACCTTGTTCCTGATCATCCACTTGACGAAGCGACTGTCGTAGGGCTCATCTGCATCGCCTGGCAAGTCCGGCATCTGGGTCTCTGGGGGACAGAAGCCACGCTGAGCCCCGGCCGCCTCCAGCCACCGCCCTCCCGCCCTGCTTCTGCCCGGCCTGGCCAGTCCTGCTCACTGAAGTCTGAGATGTCTGCGATGAGGAAGTAGCTGCCCTGGGGGACCACGGGCCTCAGGCCCACAGACTGCAGACTGCGAATCATGTGGTCCCGGTAACGCCGCACAGCTTGCGGCAGCTGCACGAAGTAGCTGCTGGGTTGGCCAAAGTGCAGTTGCTCGTGCTGGAAGCTCTGGGCCACGGCGGCCTGCGGAGGGTGGGCGCGCACGGGGCGGGGCTGATCGGACGGGGGAGGGAGGCTGGCCTGGGCTCTGTGGCGCCCCTCCCCCCGGGGCGGGGTCCCCTGCCTCTCCTCACCTGGCCCTGCGTGGGACAGTGATAGACAGTGTTCTGGTGGACGGTACGCAGGTGCTTCAGGAGACTGTCCGGGCCCAGGGCCCAGCCGACCTGGACCGGGAACACAGGGAGGGGGTGAGGCCCTCTGGGGCCTGGCCACCCCCTTTCCTAATTCCCATTGCAGCCTTGCCTGGCCCGGATCATGGGGGGAGGCGGTACCCCGACAGTACGCCCACCCTCGTCGACTCACCTTCCAGCCGGTGGCGCTGAAGCTCTTGCCAGCGCTGCCAATGGTCAGGGTGCGCTCCCACATGCCAGGGAGGCTGGCTGCCCAAGGCCAGAGAGAGACACTGCTCAGCCGGGGGTGGGAGGGGTTGGTGGCCAGGCCCCAGGCGCGCATCGGGCTCTGGGCACCCCGGCCCCTGCTAGGTGCTAAACTATTTTCGGGGCTCATCTGAGCCCATGTTCATGACCACCCCTGGGGGCAGTGCCATTGCATCCTCCTGCTCTCTGAGAGGCTAAGTCACTGCCCCAGGTCACACGGGCCCTAACCACGAGGCCTGTGTGGACTCCCAGATTGGGCTCAGGGCCCTGCCACCAATGTCCGGGGGAAGGGACAGGCCCCAGGCAGGCAGGGCTCACCGATGCTGATGTGCTGGTGACCATCGTAGACCAGCCACTGGTAGACCTCATCACTGATGCAGATCACGTCATGCTGCTGGCACAGGCTGGCCACCAGCTCCAGCTCGGCCTTGGAGAACACCTGTGGGGACCACCCCCAAACAGAGACACCTGCTCAGGGAGATGAACGGATACCACCGAGTTGGCTACTAAGGGCTTTTCCATCCCATCTTATCAAATCCCTTGCAACACTGACCCTGGGAGGTCTGTTGCGAGTTAATAGAAAATATACACGTTAGTCTCTGCCCCTAGCCCCCGGGGTTCCTGGCACAGAGCTCCTACAACCCTTGTAAATGTCTTAGTGACAGGAGCACTAATATTGGGTCTTTGACCCCTGACAACAGGGCTCCTAAAGCCCTCGTAAATTCCTTAGTGAAAAGAGCACTAGAAGTGTTTTTTTGTTCTAACAAGGTGACGCTGGGTGGGAACCTGCGTAGCTCCAGCATCAGGGCTGGTCACCAGAATGACCAAGCCATGATTAGAAGCTTGGAATTTCAGCCCTACCTGTATCCTACAGAGAGCAGAGGGGTTGGAAATGGAGTTTGATAATAATTAATCATGGGGTGCCTGGGTGGCTCAGTTGGTTAAGCGTCTGCCTTCAGTTCAGGTCATGATGCCGGGGTCCTGGGATCGAGCCCAGTATCGGGTTCCCACTCCCTGGTCAGCGGGAAGTCTGCTTTTCTTCTTCTCCCTCTGTCCCTCCCCCGGCTCATGCACTTGCTCTCTCTCTTAAATAAATAAAATCTTTAAAAAATTATAATGACTGGGGTGCCTGGGTGGCTCAGTGGGTTAAAGCCTCTGCCTTCGGCTCAGGTCATGATCCCAGGGTCCTGGGATCGAGCCCCACATCGGGATCTGCTCTGCGGAGGGCCTGCTTCCTCCTCTCTCTCTGCCTGCCTCCTTGACTACTTGTGATCTCTCTCTCTGTCAAGTGAATAAATAAAATCTTTAAAAAAAAATTATAATGACTAATGATGCCTATTGAGGAGCCTCCGTAAAATCCCAATAGTACAGGGTTCGGAGTGCTTCCAGACTGGTGAACACATCCATATACTGGGAGGGCAACACACCCAGGCCTCGGGATCCTCCCAGACCTCGTTCTGTGTATCTCTTCATCTGGCTGTTATCTCCTTTCTCATCTATATCTTTCTCAACTCCTTAATAAACTAGTAAGTGGAAGTAAGCATTTCCCTGAGTTCTGAGAGCTGTGCCAGCAAATTAATAGAAACCGAAGAGGGTGTGGTGGGAACCTCAAATTTATAGCTGGGCTGGCATCTGAAGGGCGGGCAGCCTTGTGGGGCTTAGCCCTAACCTATGGAATCTGACGCTACCCCAGCTGGTATCGTAGAACTGCCAGGTGTGGGGCCCCCCGACACCCGAGGTCAGAGTGTTGTAAGGGCAGTGGTTGTATGAGGGGATAGACACCTGTTGGACAGCTGGATTTTCCTCTGTGTCAATTCTGTCATGTTCCCATTGGACATATGAGAAAATACTCCAAGAGGTGAGGTCACCATTCCCAGGGTCTCAGGGGTCACAGAGGTACCCAGTCTGCTCCAGCAACCAGCACTTCCACCTTCCAAGGGGATTCCCACCCCTGTCCCTGGGACCTTGGGGAGTCTTGGTCCTCAGAGCTCATTACAAGTTGCCTTCCCATTTCACAGATGAAGAAACTGAGGCCCAGTGCAGTAAATCAGTAACACAGCAGGGACCTGAACCCAATCGGGAGGGGTTCCTGGAGGGCGGTCTCTCGGGTACCTTTCCCACGGGGTTGTTGGGTGTGTTGAGGATTAGGGCTTTGGTACGAGAGGTAAACTTGCTGGCCAGCTCTGTGGGGTCCAGCTGCCAGCTGCTGGCGGAATCCAGTTCCCCGTCCTGGGTGGGGCTCTGTGAGAGGAGATGGAAGGGGGCAGCGATTAATTCCCTAGCCGACCTTCAGCCCCCAGGATTTGGCCCTCCTTCATGGGCATCTGTTTCCGCCCTCTCTCCTCTGGGACTCTGGACACCCCCCACATCCTGGAGAAACGGGCCTCCTTTCCTTCCTTCTTTCCCACCTCCCAGGGGCCCACATGACACACTCCTTGGACCCCTCTGCCTACCCACACCCTACCCAGCATCCTCACCGGCTTCAGGGTCACAAACACAGGGCGACCCCCTGCCATCAATGTCATGGGTTCGTAACAGTCAAAGAAGGGCTCCATGATGATGACCTAGCAAAAGGATCAGATTAGCTGGTCCCTTGGCCCTCATCCCGACCCAGCCCGAGCCTTGCTCACTCACCTCATCTCCTTCGTCCACTAGGGCCTGGAAGGCTGTGAACAGGGCTCCATAGGCACCCACGGTCACCAGCACATTCTTGAGCGGGACTATCTCCTGTCCCAGGAGCTTCCCAAAGAAACTTGCCAAGATCTTTGTCAGGGGTGGGTAACCCTGGCAGAACAGCAACCGTCAGCCTGCCTGGCTCAGCCTGGGCCCGCCCTCCTGCTCAACTACATCCAGGCAATTCTAGCACTTTCCAGCCACAGGCCCGAGGCAAATTTGGCCTTTCATGTCCTCCACCAGCGCTGGCCATCGAGCCTGTTCTGTGCAGGCCCAACGCCCAGGGCTAGGATTTGGTGGAGAACCGGACAGAGTGCATATTTTGTGGAGAACCGTCCAACGGAGCCCCAGGGTGGTGGCAACTCCATGACTGAAGCCCTTCCTTCTCAGTTCAAGAAGCACATCTGTGCCATCGGCTCATCCTAAAAGCCTTGCAAGACACGTATTATTTGATCCCCACGATTGGATAGGTAGAGAAACGGAGACCCAGAGATAGGAAATGACGTGCTCAAGGTCATGCACAGTTGAGGAGCAGGAAGGGGACTTTATGGAAGCACCCCACTATGAGAGGAAGGTTGGATCCATATGCTTGTTTGCTGAGGACACTTATAAAGCACTCAAGGCTAAGCCAAAGGACTGAAACCCCAAGGTCTAGAACTTCACCAACTAATTCACTCAACCAGTCTGGACCATGTAAAAATTAAAAATTTCTGTCCAGCAAAATATACCAGGAGCCAAGTTAAAAGACAAAACATTGCAGACTAGGAGAAAGAGGTCAGATATTTAATATATAAAGAGCTCTTGCAAAACAACAAGACAAAGATAGAGACCCAAATGAAGAAATGGAGTTGGTCACGAAAGAAAAAGGACTGATACCCAGTGCACATATGAAAAGGATAATAATTGGGCGCCTGGGTGGCTCAGTGGGTTAAGCCGCTGCCTTCAGCTCAGGTCATGATCCCAGGGTCCTGGGATCGAGTCCCGCATCGGGCTCTCTGCTCAGCAGGGAGCCTGCTTCCCTTCCTCTCTCTCTGCCTGCCTCTCTGCCTACTTGTGATCTCTGTCTGTCAAAAAAAAAAAAAAAAACTAAAAAAAAAAAAAAAAAAAAGGATAATAATTGAAGAAAAATAAAAGCAACAATGAAATATTGCTCTAAGAATATGTCAGTATTAAAAAGATTGGAAATGCTCAGGGCTGGCAATAGTAGGAGACCAGTGTGTTGGTGAGGATGTGAGTAAACCTTTTTGGAAGGCAGTTTGAAGATATCCATCACATCTTTAAATGCTTACACCCTTTGACTCTCTAGTTTGACTTCCAGGGATTTGTCTGAGAGAAAGGCTCACACATGTGTACAAAGATATACACACAGAGATATTCACTGTGTCATTGCTTATAAAAGTGAGATAGTCAAACCAGCCCATCAGAGCAGGGCAGGTTCAAGAATTTATAGCACAGCTAAGCAGGTGAATACCATGTGGCCCTTAAAGAGAATGAGGCTATTCTGACATGGAAAGCTGCCCATGACAAGCTGTTTAGTGAAATAAACAGGTTACAGAGCATTATAGTACGAGTCTGTTTGTGCTAAAAACCGCAAATCTCATATGTTAGGTATATGGGTGTGTGTGAGCATGTGTAAGCACTTTAAAACGTTAAAAGTTTAAAGTCTAAATGCTCAGCAAAGTAGCAAACTCTTGGTCATAGTTACCTCTGGGTGGCGGAACTGGACGAAACTCCCTCCGGGTAATTCTGACGCATACCAAAGTTTAAGAAGCATTCACTGTTTTACTAAACCAAGGACTGACAAATATTTACCCTATGACCTTTACAGAAAGAGTCTGGATTTGGAGTCAGATGGGTCAGCAGCTTGTCTTTCGAGACGCAGCTTACATGCCACCTCCTCCAGGAAGCCTTCTCTGGTCTCCCCAGATTTCATTCCCTCCTTCCTGCTCCCACAGCACCCCATCCTCCCCTATTACAGCATATCAAATACCTTTATTTTCTGCTTTTGTTTTCTTTTGTTTTCTGTCTGCTTTTCTTACTAGACCCTGAGCTCCCAGCTCATGGTTTTTTGTCTGTCTCTCCCCAGACCATGAGCGGTCCCAGGGCCTGGAACAGAGGAGACACTCAGTGAACAATGAACTACAGCCACACTGAATTCTCTGGGCTTTGCTCCAGAACGCTGATACCCATGTGGGCCTGATGTTCAGAAAGGCCTGACCCTTCCTCCCCCAGGGCCTCCTTGAGGCCTGCATCCCAGGGCCCCGGGCAAAGCTGAGACTCACAAATGCCTTGGTGTACTGGTTGAGCATGAAGTCACTGTTGAGGGCGAGCTGAAAGGCTTGAATGGCGAAGTTGGGGGGTGGGAAGTCGGGAAAGCCTTGGCCCAAGTTCACGACATCATACTCACTGGCCATTTTGCCAAACTCCACCCTGAGCAACAAACAGAGAGTTGACACCAGGCCATCTGGAACTTGGAGGTGAGCGGCTCTCTCCAGAACAGGATGAACAATGCACTGGGCTCATTCCAGAAAAACTGGGCAGTTAGCGTCTGCCCCAGACTGAGATCTGTGTGAGGGTCAAAACTGGTCCCTGCTTTGGCATTACGTGGGCCAAGCACTGGGCCAATCCCGGGTCCTATTTTTTTTAAAGTAGGCTTCACGCCCCGCATGGATCCCAGTGTGGGACTTGAACTCACAACCCTGAGATCAAGACCTGAGCAGAGATGGGGAACCCGACGCTCCCCTGACAGAGCCCCCAAGGCAGCCCTATCCTACCCATTCTTTAGAAATATTTGTTGAGACTTCCTAAGTGGATTTCACGAACTACAGTTTGAAATATGTGCTCAAGGGGCACCTGGGTGGCTCAGTTAAGCATCTGCTTAGGCTCAGGTCATGATCCCAGGGTCTTGGGATGGAGCCCCGCATCAGGATTCCTGCTCAGCAGGAAGCCTGCTCCTCCCTCTCCCACTCCCCTTGCTGTCTCTCTCTGTCAAATAAATAAAATCTTAAAAAAAAAAAATGTGCTCAATAAAAACCTTCCCATATGTATGCATATGTCCTATTCCTGAGTCACAGTGGGGATGGAGATGCTGAGGCTCATAGCGATTTGCCCGAGGACTCCCTGTTCATGCATGGCCCAGCCAGCCTTTGTTTCTACATGGGCTCCATGCAAAGTTTATGCTTTAGACCATTTGCCTGGACAGACTGGGGTCCCACCAGCCCCCACCATCTGCCATTTCTGGCATCCACTGGTGGTCACCTCCTCAGGGGAACAGAGAAGCTGAGAGGCTGGTGTGTGGTTGCAGACTGGCCGGCAGGCAGAGGAGTCAGCCTTGGCTGCATTGAATTTGCATGACAATAAATATTGTTCCATCTAAAACTGTCATTTTCTCCCCAGAGCCCCATAATACTTCTGAAGTTGCTGACACTCAGAGAGGCTAGTGACCTGCCCAGAGTCACACAGCACCTGAGGGCAGAGCTGAGATGCAAAATTGGGTGGCAGATGTTCCGTGGTAATCGAGACAAGGAAACTAAGCTCAACTAAGCCCTGCAGAGACCAGCTGCCCTCTAGGTTGGGTTCTGAACCTCTCAGGCCAGCACTCTGGGGTTAGCAGAACCTCAGGCCCTTTTTTGTTCAGACTCGCATGGCCCTCATCCCTCTGGCACCCCCCCTCCTGTCCTGTACATTCTCCCCAGGCCTGCTTCTGCTCTGCCCTGCCTTTGCCATGAGACTTGGCCTCCCTCGGCCTCAGCCTCCCCTTCTGTATAATGGGGGTGTTGGGTTCAAGAGACTGCTGGGTCTGTGAGTCAGGAAAGCGTCTTGCTGCCTCTCCCAGCCTGTCTCCTAGTCCGAGTTGGACTCTACCTTATCTGCAAAGGCCCACGAGGCTGCCCAGCCTCCCTCACAGACAGGACAGAAGGTGGCATGACCGAGAGGGGCAGTCAGACACTAGAGGGGTTTTGGGTCTGGCTCCTCTGTCCCAAACACCATGGAGTATCAGGCAAAGGATCTTTGCAAATCACAAAGTGCTGTACATGGAGGTGGGGGTGGTGCTCAGAGGGGGGTGTTGAAAGAAAAAAATGGTTGCGGGGGGAGGTGCGCTCCTGGGTGGCTCAGTCGGTTGAGCGTCCAACTCCTGATTTCGGCTCAGGTTCTGCTCCCTGGGTCGTGAGATTGAGCCCTGAGCCACGCTCTGTGCTGGACAAGGAGCCTGCCTAGGAGTCTCTCTCCCTCTGCCCCTCCCCCCACCTTCCATCTCTCCGGCGTGAGCACACCTGCTCTCTCTCAAAGAAAGAAAGAAAGAAAGATGGGGCGCCTGGGTGGCTCAGTGGGTTAAAGCCTCTACCTCCGGCTCAGGTCATGATCCCGGGGTCCTGAGTTTTCTGCTCAGCGGGAAGCCTGCTTCCTCCTCTCTCTCTGCCTGCCTCTCTGCCTACTTGTGATCCCTCTCTGTCAAATAAATAAATAAAATCTTAAAAAAAAAAGGAAAGAAAGAAAAAAGTGCTCCCATGTTTTATAAAAGCAACAGCCAACAACTTTTTTTTTGAAAGTACAGGGATGTCGGGGCGTGGCTGGCTCAGGTGGTAGGTAGAGCGTGTGACTGGATCTTCTGAGTCTGAGCCTCTGTGCTGCTGCCAAAGGTGGGGTGGGGGGGCGGTTAGGAAAAATCCCTGCAATTTTCTTACACACCTTCTTACTTCATCCATTGTATTACTAGTAACCACGGGCACACATGTCTTTCAAATTTAGAACAAGTCAACAGAGAAAAGAAATTAACCTCAGCTCATGTCCAGTGCAGAGCTGCCTGTATTTTACGTTATCTTACTTAATTTATTTTACTCTGTACTAAGTGGGAAATAAAATCCCTGGAAAGCCCCAAGCCTGATGCCTTCCTACAGCATATCATTCATTTCATTTCATACGTTGATACAGCATTTCATACAGCGTTTCGCCTTATCCTCCTAAGGCCCTTCAAGATAGATGTAGTTATCTCCATTTTGCCGCTGGGGAGCTGAGGTTCAGAGCAGGTGTCACTGCCCACCCCCACCCCCACCCCGCGCCCCAGCCAAGAGCGAGGTGAAGCTGAGATTGGAACCCAAGCCCGCGGCTCCCAGTCTCACCTCTCCCAGGCTGTGGCTGCAAACCTCAGTCCCAGCACGGTGGCCGTCCTGGGTACCCCCTAGTTAATGCAGACCCAGACCCGCCCCCAGCCCTGTCCCACCCTCACGCCCGAGAGGGGACCCCACACGCTTTCCCAGCCCTACGGAGCTCACCATGGGTTGTGGTCAATCCCGTCCAGCCGACGAGCCTGGAGCCGCTTGGCCATGGCGAACTGGAGACAGAGAGAGCAGAAGGTCAGAGCGGTGGAGACGGGCTTTTTTCCGACCACAGCCCCGGCCCCCTTGAGGCCGAGTGGCAGATCGGCACTCCCCGGGAGCCCGCCTTTGGGCCTGGCTCCGCCCCATGCCGGCGGCCCCGCCCCCACCTGCCCCACCCACCAGCCCGGGCTCCGGGGGTCCTGAGACTCCCACCAGATTCAGACTAGATTCGGACCCGACAGGCAGGCTGAGGAGGAGGAGGGGCAGCAGGGAGGGGGAGGAAGGCAACACAGTGGCCAACGTGCAGCCCGCGTTTAGGACGGCCACTTCCCTTTAGGACGGCCATGCTAAACTCAGAACAACCTGGCTGGGCCCATTTTATAGATGAGAAAAATCACATTTTTTAAAAAATAATTTTTTGGGGCGCCCGGGTGGCTCAGTTAAGTGTCTGCCTTTGGCTTGGGTCATGATCCCAGGGTCTTGGGATCCAGCCCCTCATCGGGCTCCCTGCTTGGCGGGAAGCCTGCTTCTGCCTCCCCCACTCCCCCTGCTTGTGTTCCCTCTCTCTCTATCTTTCTGTCAAATAAATAAATAAAATCTTAAAAAAAAATTTTTTTTTTAAGTAAACGTTATGCCCCACATGGGGCTCCAACTCACGACCCTGAGATCAAGAGTCTCATGGTCCTCCCACTGAACCGGCCAGGTGCCCAAGAAAAATCATGCTTTCGAAGAATATTTATCAATGTGATGTGCTGACATCAATAAAACGGGCTACAAAACAGTACGTACAGTATGATTATGTTTTGTAAAAAAATCATACCCTACTACGTATTTGTATACACGTACAGTTTTCTATGACCATATGAGTAGGTGAAAAAAAGTTTGGAAGATAAATACATCAAAATGTTAACAAAGATTCTCTCTGAGGGGTGGAATTATAGGTGATTTAACTACATGTGTGTGCTTTTCCTTCTTTCTTTCTTTCTTTCTTTCAAGTTTATGCATTTAAGTAATAATGTCTACACCCAAGGTGGGGCTTGAACTCATAACCGTGAGATCAAGAGTTGCATGCTCTTCCAACTGAGCCAGCCAGGCACCCCATGTGTGTATTTTTCTATGGTTCCATTTTTTTGGTATGGAGATCACACCATATGGGATTGATTCTGATATATGCTTTTTTTTTTTTCCCCCTTGCACGTTCTCTGAATTCAAACGTATCTCAGAATCTCCAGCATGAATCTGATTGGCATTTCCCGCCCCCTTACTAGCCCATACAATAACAGTGTATCATTGATGGGATCATGGTTTCAATGCTATATGGAATTACTGTTGAATTGGGGATACATCATTTTTAAGAAGATAGAGGGGCACCTGGCTGGCTCAGTCAATAGAACATGTGACTCTAATCTCGGGGTTGTGAGTTCAAGCCCCATGTTGGGTGTAGAGATTACTTAAAAATAAAATCTTAAAAATACATAAAATGAAGATGAGGTTGGGGGGGCAGGTGAGGGTGCATGTTAGGGCGAGGGAAGTTTGAGAAGGTTGGGGTGGGGTAAAGGGTACCAGGGTACAGAGGCATAGAGAGAGAGAGAACAATGGAGGTGAATGGAAGTGAATGAGAATAAAAAGGAGGTAAATATAATGCAAGCACAGAAACTTGGGGGAACTCAAAGGAGTGACCCTCAAGTATGACACACAGTAATTGCATTAAGTGAGGAAACAGTGCCTGTTTTTGGACTTATGTATAATGTATTCCTCAGCCAATGTCTACTGAGCACCTACTGTGTACTGAACACTGGGCTGGGCTTAGGGGATGAAGGGCAGGCAGCACAGCTCCATGCAGACCATTCAGATGCAGAGCTACAAGTTCAAGGTTAGAGGAAAGAGCAAGGGAGGGGTTCCCTCCAGGCTAGAGTCAAGGAAGGCATCCTGAAAGAGGGGCTTCATGCACAGCTTTGAAGCTGGGACCATGCCAGATCATCGGGGCTCTGGGCTGGGCAGCAAAACACGTGGGACTAGAGCACTTACAGTCTGGTGCATGCACCGAGTGAGAGAAGTTCCAGCCTTCTTTCTCTGGAAGAGCCCAGCCAGGTGCAAATAGATGGCAGCCACATTCCTGAACATGCCTCCCAGGGCCTTGGGACACTGGTGACTTCTCCAGAGGCAGAGAAGAGGGAGGAGAACGCTCTGGCCAAAAAATGGCTCCGAGGCCAGGGTATGGATTCCACACACAGAGCTGTAACAATAACAACAACAACAGCAGCAGCAGCAACAATAAGAGCTAATATTTATTGACTGGTCACTGCGTGCCAGGCATGGCAACAAGTGCTTTCTTGCCTGATTATCCCTCACACCTACAACCCCCTGACCCCCAGAAACCAGAGGGACCCTTTCAAAATGTAAATTACCTCTAACAGAAGAAAAAAAAAAGATCCAGGTGAAGATATGGATGACCCCTAACACCACAGGGAGAGTTGATCCCACATTATGTTCTGAGTCTAGAAACACACACACCTCCTGCAAATTACCTTCGTGCTAAAACCAAATCTGGATCAGATCGTGCCACTGGGTTACTAAAACACAAGGGACAGAAGAATATGTTAAATGATACCATGGAGAGGTAATCCACAAATGACTTTGTTTCTTCAACAAATAAAGTGAAGGGGGAAAAAGTCCAGGGCAGGATAGATGAAAAGAAACTTACATTTAAAAAATGAATGCAGGGGCGTCTGGGTGGTTCAGTGGGTTAAGCCTCTGCCTTCGGCTCAGGTCATGATCTCAGGGCCCTAGGATCGAGTCCCGCATCGGGCTCTCTGTTCAGCAGGGAGCCTGCTTCCCTCTCTCTCTCTCTCTGCCTACCTCTCTGCCTACTTGTGATCTCTCTCTGTCAAATAAATGAATAAAATCTTTTTTTTTTAAAGATTTTATTTATTTATTTGACAGAGAGAAATCACAAATAGGCAGAGAGGCAGGCAGAGAGAGAGGAGGAAGCAGGCTCCCCGCTGAGCGGAAAGCCCAATGTGGGGCTCGAACCCAGGACCTGGGATCATGACCTGAGCCGAAGGCAGCGGCCCAACCCACTGAGCCACCCAGGCGCCCCTGACTACTTAGGAACTTGTTAGTTCTCATTTCAGGTTCAAATCTGTGCCAGGCAGGAAAGGGTGGGTAGATCATACCATCCTTAGGCACTGTCACTCAAGGGTGGTCCTCGGGGAGCAGGGAGCAGGCTGTGGGGCCCAGGTGGGAACGCTCCCCAGCAAAGCTTCATTAGACTTGCAAATATCTAGACATCCACTGTGTGGGCTCCATTGAGGGTCCCCAAATGTTAGGGGTGAGTCTGAGGGACGAATGTGAACATTGACTGGGTAACGTATGATACGAAGAAATCAGTAATTTATTGGCTGTGCTAATGGTATCGGGGATTTCTTTCTTTCCTTGTAACAGTCCTTATATTTTAGAAATGTCTCTTTTTTTTAAAGATTTTATATTTTTTTAAAAAGATTTTATTTATTTGTTTGACAGAGGGAGACACAGTGAGAGATGGAACACAAGCAGGGGGAGTGGGAGAGGGGGAAGCAGTCTTCCTGCTGAGCAGAGAGTCCAATGGGGGACTCGATCCCAGGAACCCGGGATCATGACCTGAACCGAAGGCAGACGCTTAACCGACTGAGCCACCCAGGCGCCTCAGAGATGTCTCTCGAAGTACTGACAACATAATATCTGGGATTTGCTTCAAAATAATCCAAAATGATCCAGATGGTGGAAGTAGGAAGCGGATAGGGGAACAGAGGGAGTAAGCCAGGCCATGGGTGAGACTGGGCGGGTCAGCACACTCTACTCTACTTTTGTATGTATTTCAAAAGTTCCACACGTCTGAGGCGGAAGTCACAGCCACAACATGGAAGGAGCCTGGGCCTGTGATAATCGGGGAACCATCGGTGATCTCTGGACTTGGGGGGAGGGGATGGATCTTGTTCAAGATGCTGTGATTTTGTTTTCTTTTTCATTAACAGGAAATTAGGCCTCATGGCTAAGCCCTCATCAGTGCCCTCAGCCGCAGGAGCTCAGCAGAGACTGAGAAGTTGCGGTGAGGGAATGCATGCCAGGGGGCCGTGGGGTCTCAGTGAGAGGCTGTTGGAACTTATTATGGAATTTGGACTTCGGTGAAGTAATTTGGGGGAGGGTTCAGGGAAGCTAGATCACTTATGGTTGGATATCACAATAATCTTTTTTTTAAAAGGTTTTATTTATTAATTTATTTGAGAGAGAGTGTGCATGAGCGAGGGTAGGGGCAGAGGGAGAGGGACAAGCAGACTCCCCACTGAAAGCAGAGCCACAGGCAGGGCTTAGTCTTAGGACCCGAAGATCGTGACCTAAACCTAAGTCAAGAGTTGGACGCTAGGTTGGGGCGCCTGGGTGGCTCAGCGGGTTAAAGCCTCTGCCTTCAGCTCAGGTCATAATCCCAGGGTTCTGGGATCGAGCCCCTCATCGGGTTCTGTGCTCAGCGGGGAGCCTGCTTCCTCCCCTCTCTCTGCCTGCTTCTCTACCTACTTGGTTTTGTTTTGTTTTTTTAAAGATTTTATTTATTTATTTGACAGACAGAGATCACAAGTAGGCAGAGAGGCAGGCAGAGAGAGAGAGGGGGAAGAAGGCTCCCCGCTGAGCAGAGAGCCGGATGCGGGGCTTGATCCCAGGACCCTGGGATCATGACCTGAGCCGAAGGCAGCGGCCCAACCCACTGAGCCACCCAGGCACCCCTTTTTTTTTTTTTTTTAAAGATTTTATTTATTTATTTGACAGAGATCACAAGTAGGTAGAGAAGGGGCGCCTGGGTGGCTCAGTGGGTTAAAGCCTCTGTCTTCGGCTCAGGTCATGATCCCAGGGTCCTGGGATCAAGCCCCGCATCCGGCTCTCTGCTCAGCGGGGAGCCTTCTTCCCCCTCTCTCTCTCTGCCTGCCTCTCTGCCTACTTGTGATCTCTGTCTGTCAAATAAATAAATAAAATCTTTAAAAAAAAACACAAAGAATTGGACGCTTAACTGACTGAGCCACCCAGGCGCCCCCCAATAATCATATCTATAGGGAAGCAGGTTTGAGGCTGGCTATACTTGGAGAAGCAGCCACCCAGGTGTGCCAGGAGAGGGGGGCGCTGGGTTTCCCGTGGCTTTGACAACGTTCACGTCCGTTTGTGTTTAGACATGATCGCAGAGCATTGTGTTTTTTTCTGGATTTCTTATGGTCGCAGCGTGGCCTTGTCTGATACTGGTGTTCCGTGCAGTTGTGTTCAACACAACACAAGTCCTATCTGTGGGTGTCAGGCCAGCTCCTGGATTCTAGAGGCTGCTTTTCTCTTCCTAAATCCTCCTACTAAGAATAAAATCCAAAATCTTTACCATGTTCTAGAGGGCCCCGTTAAATCAGCTGTGAGGCCACCTGTCCCAGCCATTTCCTGCCACTGTCCCTTTCACTTGCGGTCCACCCCCGGCCACACTCGCCACTCCCGTCTACCTGTTAGTTGTGGCCCTATATCTACTCTCCTTCTAGAGCAGCATCTGCAAACTTTTTCTGTACTGGGCCACAGTATATACTGTGGGCTTTGCAGGACCTACAGTGTCTTTCACAGCTCCTCAGCTGTGGCAGGGGGAGTCTGCTTCTCCCTTTCCCTCTGCCCCACTCCCCTGCTCATGCTTCCTCTTGCTCTCTTTCCTAAAAAACAAAACAAAACACCAACAAAAAAACTTAACAAAAAACAAAGCTGTATTAACAAACCCTGGCGGCAGACCAGGGTTGGACTGGGGACCCTCCTAGCATCTGGAACTCTCAGACATGTCCACGCTGGGCCTCCAGCAATTTGTCCATCATGTTTAAGTTTTCATCCCCCAGAACTGGTCCACGTGGAGGTCTCTGCTCCCCTAAGTCACGATTGTCTGTATCTGCTGGTTTGTCTAATGTTGGAGGCAATGGTTTGTCCCGTGACTTCCTTTCTCAAATGGGCCTAAGGTGTTGATTTTTCGATTTGGCCAGCTTTCTGCTTGCGAGGATGTTGGGATGACTTCCAAGCTCCTTATGCACAGGACTGGAAACCGGAAGTCCAATGAAACCCGCCTGTTCATGGAATTTCATCACTACCTGTGGAATGCTCTAACTTCACTACAAAAGAGAAATAAGCGAAAATAATTCATAACGCAATAGTCAGGCTTGCCCACTCTAGAAGATTCCATGAAGTAGATAGCTGCTTGCGCCTGCTTATAAGAAGTAAGTTCAGCCTGACCAGGGCAGCTACCCAGCTAGTCCCTCCTTAACCCCGACGCAGCCCAGCCTCTTCCCCTGGGGTCTTTCAAAGCATCTCAGAGCACTGACAGGCATCCATTCTGTCCAAAGGTGGGGCACTGCCTCCCTCCGTTCTTCAATCATCAGCTTCTCCAGAGCATCTTCTGGGGCCCGGCCCTGGCCTGGGGCTGAGACTACAGTAGGGACCAGGAGCTGTCAGCAGGGGTAGGAGGGAGGAGAAGAGATGCCCCCAAGCACTGTCTCCCTTATTCATCCTGCAAGTATTTCCTCATAAGTACAAAGACATGTTATGGTTTGAACTGTGTCCTCCAAAAGTGTATGTTGAAGACCCCGGGCATCCGTGAGCGGAAATAGGGTCTTTGTAGATGTGATCTATGTAGAATAAGGTCATACTGGATTCGAGTGGACTTTATTCCAGGATGACTGGTGTCCTTCGAGGAAGGGAGAAGAGACACAGACACACAAGCAAAAGGCCATGGGAAGACAGAGACAGAAATGGGGGTTGGGGAGGTGTCTGCAGGCCAGGGAGCTCCACGGATTGTCAGCAACACCACAAGCTAAGAGAAAACCATGGGACAGACTGACCTCTAGAGGCTTCGAGAAAGCATGACCCTGCTGACACCTTGATTTGGGACCTCTAGTCTCCAGAGCAGTGAAAGAAAAACTTTTGTGTAAAACCACCCAGCTTGGCGGGACTTTGGGCTGGCAGCTCCTGGAAACTAATGCAATGGGACACCAGAGGGCGCTCCATGCACGGGTTGGGGGAACCTGGGAGTTTGGGAGGGCTCCCTGGAGGAAGTGGCATTAGCACAAAGCCCCAAAGCAGGGAAAGTGAGCCTGGTGGAGAGGGCGGTGCAAAGGCCCGGGAGCGGAGGAGGGCTGGGAGATGTCAGGGGCTGAGAAGTCCTCTGGCCAGAGTTGATGCTCTAGTTTCTCAAAACTGAGTCACTTCCCAGGGGAACCCTGCAGGAAGTACTCCCTGGTGGCTGTAGCTAGAAACCAGAGCTTGGAGCAACAAAAGTAGTGTAATTATTATCTGAGGAAGGACATTCCACTGGGTGTCATATGGGGGGGGAAGTGTCAGTGTGCCTCAGCCTCAATCAGCCAGGGGACATGAAGTCCATGGTAAAGTGTGAGTGTAGTGCTGGTCACAGGAGGCACCTTCTGCCTGTTGCAATGTTCTAGGGGGACGGGCTGTCCTGCTTGCTCAGGATTAAGGGATTTCTCGGGACCGGGACCATCCTGGGCACATGGGGACGGTTAGTTTCCCTGCTGAATACAGGGATGGCTGCCCTGTTCTGGGCCCAATGTCCAGCTGATTCCTCCAGAGGGACCCTCTTCTGTCTCCTGACCAAAATCTCCGGATGTCCAGCAGAACAATCCTCTCTCTGACACCCTCGCCCACATCATTTCACATCTATGAATTCTG